CTGGATTTGTTTACCACTCCTCTGCGTCTCTGCCAGCCTCAGCTCTCCCTGTTCAGGAGGAGGCAAACGGCTGCTTTGGGCTTGGAGGGGATTTCTGAAGCAAAGCACGTCTTTTCCTCTGGAAACTTCCTTCCTTGTTCATTCAACAGGAGGGACCAGGTGTCTAACAGCCCTTTTCTCCAGTGTGAGGCAGGTATGATTAGTTCTTCTCAGTATTAGAGCAAAAAGGTGTCCTAGCCAAGGCATGATGCCATCCTGCTGGTGATGGAACACAAGCTATGTAAAATAGCTGGTTGTGGATGCAGCAATCAAAAGAGATAAGGTAGAAGACAGGTGAGAGGAAAAAGAGAAGCACAAAGAGATGGTGACTGGAAGTACTGCAGTAATTCAGTTGCACAAAGAGAATCTAAGGCTGCAAAGTCCTACTCCTGTTCTTCATCCTCTGCTTGTAGGAGCCATCAATAATTTGACCATTATGAGTTTCTCTTTTATTGAATTTCTCCCGATTCCAGGAAGGCTCTGGGCTTGTGCTGCATCTTGCTAAAACCAGAAGTATCAGATTCTCAGAAAGAGACTAGTCTTCTGAGGTTTTCAGACCCAAACTATTTAGAAAATGATTTTTTTTTTTGTCTGTTTATCTGAACTCGGAATGAACTGCTAAAATGTTTGAGGTTTGTCCGTAATAAAAACATGGGTCTGAACCACTGAAATATTCCCCAGCATGAATATGGCCTTCAAAGTGAGCAGAGGTGGTTATGCCTTCCTGGGACGTCTTTTGCCTGTAGTCAAGGCAAACTGTTACTTTAAACTCCTATTCAAGGATGCTGAAATCTTACAAATCAACCCCATACAGTTTCTTCTCTGGAATGGTGGGAAATGTACTCCTGCAGCCAAAGTGTGAGGATTCATTTGAATCTGAAATCTATAAAATTTGTACTCAGATCTGAACTTTTTTTGAACATTGCCTGGGACCTGCCAGTGGGACTTGTGGATTAAACCGCTCTGTGCTCATTTTTGCTGTCTCCAGCATTCCAGCCTCTACATCTGGCAGTGTGGACCCTCATACCAGCGTGACAGCACTGCCCACCATCTCCTGTATTCATCCATTTTGGGGATTCCTGAGTGTTTTATAGCTTTGTACAATGCCATCTGGTTGCCATTTGGCCACGCTCCCATTTGTCCTGGTCTGTCTCTGAAAAACTGGACCAATGTAAAGATCAATCATCGCAGCAGCAAATGATGTGGAGATATCCAAGGGGTCATGTTCTCTCACTGTTGTTTGAAAAAGGAAGTTGTCACTGATGCACTTTGGAGATCTATGGTGGGCAAGTAGTTTCCCCTGTCAAGAGTTGTTAAGGTTTACAAAATATTTGGCAAAAAGCAAAAAATATCACTTTAGATCTACTCTCTTGGAAGCGCATCATTTTGATGCCAACTTTTGTTTGTTAGCCATTCCTTGCTGGAAAGGAAGTTGCTTTTCATGACACAACCACGTCTCAAGCAAAAAGCCTGAAATGTCCTTCTCTGAGAAGGTCAAAACAAGACATTGCAGCATTTTTAAAGCTTTGTTGCCACTTCATTTTCTTCCAGCTAGGAAGTTTGACAAAAATAATCCTTGCCATGAAAAGTTTTGTTTTCAGCAAATCAACGTTTTTGTTTTTCCCAGAGAAAAAGGCTCCTGGAAAAATTCCTGCTCTGGGGTTGGCTTAAATTTGAACAAAACAACAGTGTCTCCTAGTGGCTGACTACAGGGGAATGGCCAAATCCATCTTGGCTTTCAAGTGTCTCTTCCTTGACCCTCCTCTTAGGTCTTTGCTCATCAGAGATTGAGAGAAGTGGGAAATGAATTGTGCTCTAAGCAACAAACCACTTCATAAGCCATAAAAATATCCATGGCAGGCCGTTTTCTAGGCTCCAGTTGGTGTTGAAAGAAGGTAATTACGTTTGAAGGCTGTATCACTGGATGTTTGGCTCATCTGCTGTTCAGCTTCCACTCTAATAATACAAAAGCTTACATCAGCAGCTTAGCCAGCATGCAGGGCTATCCATCTTTGTCTTAGCCCAGTGGGTCCTGCCTCCGTGTCACCGCAGGATTGTGCTCCAAACGTTTCACGTTACAGCAGTCCTTGTCATCAAATTAGTTCTGCCTCACACCAAGTATGATCACTACAGGATAATGAAGATCTCTTGTCTGAAGCACAGTTGGCTTTGCAGTGTCAGCCTGCTGTCCATCGACCTTGCCCAGGCATCCCCCCATCATCTTGATCTGCTGGATCAGCTCCTCATCACAGCTATTGATGATCTCATCTGGGCCACCTCCTTGTCCTCTCCATTCCCTCTTCCTCGTGCCCTCTCTCCCCTCCCCTGAGAGATGGCTGCGGCTTTCCTCCTGCTCTCTCTGAACTCATACATGAAGCAAAAGTCCAAGTGAGCAATAAGGACACTCAGTTGTCTGAGGAAACTGGCAAATCAACTCAAGCAATGACATTGGCAGATTAAGTGGTTGCAATGCCATGTGTTCAACAGGCCACAGAAAACTCTTTGGGTTGGCTTAGAAAACATCGGATTTTAGAGAATAACAACCTGCAAATTCATTTTATTTGCCTGAGGGTGTTTTTAAGTTTGTCCAGCTTAGGCTTTTCAGGCTGGACATTGACTTTTTTGGTAACAACTCCTGAGATTGTTATCCACATAAATCCAGAATTAGGGATTTTGAAATTATCAATATCTATCCCAATTTTCATGATAGAATCGTGTCTCTTGGCAGCCCGTCTGGCAGCAGGAAGGTGAACTTGGAGAACAGTGAATTAAATTTTACTTCAGTGGATGAGACTGCTGCTGAATTGCAGCCTGTGAGGTACTGTAGGTAGCAATGGACAGATTCTCTGTGTTTCCCAGCAGAAGGTTCTACAGAACAACCCTGTCCCTTCAAAGCTGCCCAAGCTGCAGCTTCCTTGCTGATGATTGTGTCATTAATTTCTCAGCCTCAACACGCTAATGAGCCATCCTCAGCCTGCCATGAACACCCTGTCCCAAAGAGCCCCCAGTCTGCTGCCTGGAGGGATGTAAGAATTTAGCAAATTCTTCTGCTTCAAAAAAAACTTGCATAACCCCAGCTGAGGGGAGACCAAACACGCCAGCCACACGCTGCTCCTGACAAATAGCTCGAGGACGCTGTGAGCGTGGTGTCCCGTCACCGCTGTGGTTTACAGCAGGACAGGCGCCTGGCAGCCCGTGGGGCTATTTCAGGCTCAGGCTCTGCTGGGAAGCTGGTTAGATGCCATCCTGGAGCAGCCCTTTTCTTCAGCTGTGTTTTCGTTGCAAAGGGAAGACCTCTCCCTGGGTTGTCTTGGCATCATTGGGGTGGGGAATGGCACAGGCAAGCGCTGGTTGATGTCAAGGAGGGAATTGCCATCCCTGCAGCAGAGAAGGTGTGAGGAGGACAGCCCAGTGACCCCCTGGCATCTGGGCCACCCCTTGCTAGAGCCTAAAGAACTGAAAATTGCACAGTCCTTCCCCTCGTGTCCCTTAGTAATTAATGTATATGGATTATAATCATGAGGACTCAGGCTCTTAGTACTCTTTCTCCTGGATAAATGGTTGAGCAAAAACCAGTCTATTGCATAAAGTAATTTAGCCCATGAATGATGGGTCATTAGCAGCCCACAGACGGTTGCTGCCTATAGCAGGGGATGTGTGGGCTCTTCCTGCACTGGAGTTAACTCTTTCGCTCTCTCCTTGGATTGCCAAGGATTGAGCTTGCAGAGCGTGGAGTTCCACGTGGCTGTGCCACAGTGTGACAATGCTCTTCTCCCTTCAGAGCCTCAAATAATGCAACAAAATCCCCAAGAAACTGCCAACTTTTTAACACAGTGTCTAATGACGGATGGGGAATAAAGGAAGCTATTATCAGTCAGGAGATGAGTCAGATATGAAAATAATACCTTTTTTCTAGACAATATTATTACACTGAGGAAATGAAAAAGACTCATTTTCCTTTGTAAAGGAGCAGACCTCAAGCATTAGAAATGCGCATTGCAGAGCCTGGGGCTGTTTGAGGGAGTAGCACCAGTAAGTGAGCGAATCCCATCCCACCTTTGGCACCCATCCCGGTTTAGAGCCTGGGTGCTGGGCAGACATTGCTGTGCTTCCCAGGAAAAGCTGTATCTGAAAAGCAAGATTGTAGCCCAAGGTAATTTGGTGCTGATGATAGAGGAGGGGAATGGGAAAATCAGTTCTTGAATGTCAGCTGCATGCAGACTTTTACACTCGGAGAAATCCGTGCTGATCCTGGAGGGAATGCTGACACCCAGGGCCATACTCCTGTCATTTTAGCAAAATCTGCTGTACGTCACTAACCAGAACTGCAGAAGGAAAAATCATATTGGGGTTTCTGGGGGGAGAATTTTGCAAAGGGAGATCAATATCTCAAGGGAGATAAAATTATCGATCCTATTGACTTTCACTGGTATTTGTTTTCCTAATTCTCTTAAGAGATGTCTGCAAGAAAAGTGCTTTGTTTGTATGTGGTGGGGCTGTACAGTATTGACAGTGCTCCTGCTTTGGATATAGCAGGATCCATAAAGCTCTGCTGGGTTTAGTGCAACATGAACAGCCTGACCATGCAAGTCCAAATAGAAGCCCTACCAAGCCATGGTAGCCGTTCACCTGGATAATTGTATCTTGCAACAGTGGACCAGCCCTTTCCTTTGCACAGCTTTAGTTTGTTGGGCCCATATATTGGGCACACTTGTTCTGCAACTGCTCCAGAATTGGGCTGGGATTCTCTGTTTCCAATAAGACTCACGGGGACTGTCCATGAAGCTTGTCTGCTGTTTCCTTCAGACACCGATGTGCCTCCATGGCTCTACAGAAGGAACACGGGGAAAACGTAGCACTTGTGTGTCACTATCACAAATCCCAGAGCAGGAAGAACATACTAGTCTTTTACCATTTCCTCTGTCCATCTGTTTGACCATGTTGCTTTTTTTGCCCCATAGCCAGACGAGTTGACCAACGCCTTGGAGATCAGTAACATCGTCTTCACAAGCATGTTTGCCCTGGAGATGCTCTTGAAACTCCTTGCCTTTGGCCTCTTCGGTTACATCAAGAACCCGTACAACATCTTTGACGGGATCATAGTTGTCATCAGGTCTCTGCCAGTTCTTTCTCTACTGTGGCTTTTCAGCTGAGGGCTCAGACCTGTTGGGGAGTGGGATGTGGAACAGGAATGATGTGGCATATGTTTATCCAGGGCTTGCTGGCTATGATGGGATATAATTATGCTGGCCTTTTAGATTCTTGTCATTAGAAGGGCCATCCAAAGTAAATGAACCTGGCAGATGGAGAACAAAGTCTATTTACGCCACACATCTGGCACTGTGGTCAATTTTCCATTGAAGTGCAGAATGGCTGGTCCTGGGAAAGGAGTACTGTGAGTGTCCATATCCCAGCGGCGTGCCCTCCCTCTCCTGAATTAACCCCTAACTCAGGCTGGAACAGGGCAAGCAGGAGAGTAAGGTTCTGCTGTCCTCTCCCAGGGGAACACTATCCCAGCCTAAACTGGAGATGTCACAGCATGTGCGTGAGAGAAGCTTGTGCAGCACCTCTCTGTGCTGAGATTCTTTCTAGCAGTGCCTTTCACCCCTCAGTCAGACACTTGGGGCAGAGAAGTCAGGCCAGACAAGGAAGGTTTAAATCAGGATAGTGCTCATGACTTCAGTTGGCCCATCCCTTTGATTTGGAGAAGTGAGGAGCAATAGAGGCTTGGAACAAAGGCCACTCTGTGGCCTGATCAAACCAACAAATGTAAATCTCTCTGGATATTAGCTTGGTACAAAATTGTGATCCACATTTTCTGGCTAGACTTGTGAGTGATTGTAGTGATTCAGACTAGCAGGAGACACGCTGTGCTGTGAAGAGCTGCAGAAAGTGAGGGAATTTAAAAAATGAATAAACCAGGTGTAAAGGATGCAGGTTGTGCATGAGCACGTGTGTCTGCACAACTGGGAAGTGAAAGTGTTTTCAGAAGCAAGAATGTAGCAGGCAAATAAACTACCCCTTGAGGGCTTAAATAGAATCACAGACTGGTTTGGGTTGGAAGGGACCTTAAAGCTCATCCAGTTCCAACCCCCTGCCATCAGCAGGGACACCTTCCACTAGACCAGGTTGCTCAAAGCCTCATCCAGCCTGGCCTGGAACACTTCCAGGGAGGGGGCGTCCACAACTTCCTTGGGCAACCTAAATGGTGTGATATCCTGGGTGAAACCACGCTGCTCGGGGCTTTTATGGTACAGTACTGTAGTCTATAGTTCTCCTCCTTCTGGTGTCCCTGCAGTGTCTGGGAGATCATCGGCCAGTCGGACGGAGGCCTCTCGGTGCTACGAACCTTTCGGCTGCTCCGGGTGCTCAAACTGGTGCGTTTCATGCCCGCCCTCCGTCGCCAGCTGGTGGTCCTGATGAAGACAATGGACAATGTAGCCACCTTCTGCATGTTGCTCATGCTCTTCATCTTTATCTTCAGGTACCAGAGGCTGCAGCTCTTCTTTGATTAATCATTCAGCTTGTTTGAGTAATCTGTAGATTAGAATAACAATGCACTGCATTTGCTAGGCTGCCTGGATGATAGAAGTGCTCACAATATATTGACAAGCAGACACTCAACAGACTATTTGCCTCTTTTTGGTCTCAGTTTTTCATGCAGTACTGTAATTCTGTAGATGAATGAAGTGCACAAACAGGCAAGAATTGCTCTGGAGCTCCTGAGAGGCTTGTTCAGCTGTACCTCAGGAAGCTGTCAGTAACTAGACTCGACCAGTGTTATATTTGAGGTGGAGGTTGTACAGACTCCAAGACATCTGTCTGTTTGACCCTATAAGGTTCCTCGGGATCATGTTTTTGGAACCAGTCAGATTAGGGAGCTGGCAATCTGGTTTGTCATTTTTTAGACAAAGGAGGTCCTTGATTTGACTTCAGCGTAGACAATTGTAATGAAATGTGACACAGAAGAACCAAATGGCAGGGTTTGACCAGTGGTCATGTCAGTGGTGGAGCAGAGCCTTTCTTCCTGAGAGATACCACTGGCACACAAAACACTGGGCAGGGAAAGTGCCCCAAAAATCACTGCAATCCTCCCTGCAACCATTTTTCACACAATAATACGTTTCTTCCATCTCTCTTCTTTCCCATTCTAGCATTCTCGGCATGCATCTTTTTGGATGCAAGTTCAGCCTGAAAACTGATACAGGAGACACAGTTCCAGATAGAAAGAATTTTGATTCTTTACTTTGGGCCATTGTGACTGTATTTCAGGTAAGTTCTGGATCTTCTGGGAAGTTTTAATGTAGACCACCTGGACAAGTTATTTCACTTTAAAAAAAAAAAAAAAAAACAAAACTATTCCAGTAGGTGTCAAATTTGGACTAAAACAGCACTGTTGATTTATTAGGGCAAAGTGATTGTGTTTCTGATTTCTGAATTAGCTGGTTTCTATAAACCCTGATAGAGAAGCAATCTACAGTGCATATCTGTAAAAGTAAAGTCTGAGAAGGTCTGGAAATCCACCTTTATTTTCCTTTCATATAGTTGGTAAGATCAAGACCCGCAGTCTACTGTCTATTCTGCTCCTATTCTGTAGATTTCTGCCTCCTTATTTGCCTTCACTGCCCCAAAAAATGCACTTTATAAACAATTTCAAATTGCCTGACAAATACGGACACAAATCAGAGCTGGAGTTGCTGGCTCTGTATGCTGGGAAAGTCTTCATAGAGAAAGTTGTGTTTCCTCTGCAGACAAGATCTGTTACGTGCTAGAAATTGCTGCCATATTCCACAGTGGAGCAATAAGATGCTATTTCCAGGACATTCTAAATATAAAGATTAGACTTTTCTGTTTAAAAGCTCAGTCCTTAGAGCCCAGGTGGAGCACAGTGTAAGCAGCGTTAAGTTTCGTGTTCCCCACACTATTCTTCAAGGTACAAACCAGTCCAGAGTCTTCACTGTGAAGAATACAACTTCTTGCAAAGTTTTCCTTCTTACAAAGGAGCAAAGAGAAATCAGCATTAGTCTCACAGGTTCATATTTTTATTTTGCCAACATAAATACAGATTGCTGCGTTTATTCGAACAGTCCCATGGGCAAAGAGAGTTGGCACAGAGCTCCAGAGCTCAGTCCTACCTCATGTGAAGGTTAATGAGTCGCATGACTCAGTGCAGCCCTGCATTCCTATCCCCAAAGCTACCTTGTTTCTAGGAGGATTAGAGGCCGTTTTCACTGTAAGCATGAATTAATGTGGAACATGAATCTGTCATCCATTTTTCATAGGTCCTTGAATTTTTGAGCTCCAGGAAAGCTAAGAGAGTGGGAATCCCTGAGGGAAGGTCCCTTGGAGCAAGGCTTTGCAAAGATGTGTATCTTTTACCCAGCTTGTCAGTGCTTTTACCTAACCACTTTGCTTTCTTGAGTTTCTTCAGCCACCCTATGTCATTTATTATATCCCCTCATCCCATGTCCCCTACCCTTTCCTTCAGCTCCAGATGCCTTATAAAGGGCAGCTCAAAAGGAGACAACAGCTCTGGCCTCAGGTCTGTTATCTTCTGATGGTTATCAAAGGAGGCAAAAGTGGTATTTGCACCAGCACATCCTTCATGTCATCATATCTAGGATCTGAACTAATCATCTGTACGGGCAGTGGTGTGCTAGGTCCTCCTGCAAAGAGGGGAAGTTTGGCCAGAAGAGAGCTCTCACATGCAAAGATCTAAAGAAAGGAATGTTTTGTTGTCTCATCTCATGAGATCTGCTAATGATTATGCTCAGAAAAGGTCAAAAAGAGAGGAAAAAATGGGTGAGTCAGTATTTGAATGCAACTGCTGTGCAGGAGAGGAGTAATTAGAGAGTCTTCCCCTTCACCTCTCTGCAGATCCTCACTCAAGAGGACTGGAACGTGGTCCTGTACAATGGGATGGCATCTACATCCTCATGGGCAGCACTCTACTTTGTGGCCCTCATGACCTTCGGCAATTATGTGCTCTTCAACCTTCTTGTTGCCATTCTGGTAGAAGGCTTCCAGGCAGAGGTAAGAGATCTGAACAGAGGGAGGGAAAATACCGAGAAGCACGGGTAGGCAAGAGTGTAGGGGTGAGTCCATGTCAGTGCAAACATCTAGCCATGCAAGCAGTCCTAAATTTAAACTTAAGGGATGTAGATGAGCTGGGTTGGGCATGAGAAGCTCTTGTGAATCTGTCTTTGCGAATAAGGTCCAGTGAACTTGGCATGGGACTTGGGAGACCAACACTTTGGTTGATCTACTACAGGGTCTGTTGTGTGACCTAGAGGAAATCATTTAGGATGGATTTAATTCACCAAATCTCCCATATGTCCTGTGTTTTGTGGTTTTTTTATGGTGGGCCTCAAGCCTTCATTGTGTCTAGACAACACTAGTTGTGGGGACCAGGTATGGTGTGAACTTGCTCTCAATCCAGGCCTTTCCCTGTGACTCTGTCCCTTACGTGTTATTTGAGGCTAGTGGCACAGCTGTTCGAAAGCTGCGTTGCAAGGTAACAAACATTAAATTTTGAGATACTGGGGATTATGTAGGATATGTAAATGCTAAAGAGATTTTGACTTACACCTGAAAATAACGTCTGTATCAGGTCAACGAGCAGGGAGTTTATGACAAACTGCTGGCACCTCATCTCATCTCACACGGAAAGGATTAGAGAAATGATTGTATTTCTCAGTCACAAGTGCTATGCCATGTCCTGATCTGAACCTGGTAGGAACCCTAGCAGCTGTGCAGGCAATCCTGTGCCACACGATCCAGAGCAGCAGACCACACTGGTGTGAGTGGTGTAAGTGGTATAGTACTGGTGTGAGTGAGGGATCCCTGCAGCCTTTTAAGTTTTCCTCCCCACCAGCAAGTCCACTCCAGATCTGCTTTCAGCATCCTGAGAGAGTGAAATCAGCCATCCCCTACCCTATCCTGATCTTCTCCATCTTCCTTTCAGATCAAGGCAAGTCCCAATTAAAGTAAGAAGAGTTGAAAAGGGTTTATGTCCCATTGAAAGGGTTTATGTCACCCTTTGGGATTTTTTAATTTTTACTTTTTTATTTCTGCAACCATCAAGAAGGGAAAGTTTGCTCAGTGCTGGATTGGCTTCAGAGACACACAGTATCAGAAAGGAAATGGGTTCAGTTTTCACCGCCTTAGCTCCCAAGG